ACTTCGTGAACTCGGCAACCAGGTTACCGTTTTTTTGTTTTTACCTCTGTTTTTCATGGCGGTAGCCATAATGGTGGTCGAGTAGTTCATGTTTTGCGGGGCGGGTGAACCCTCACTCCGCGCAAGGGGGATGATCGCACCACGTTGTGTTAAAATGGTCAAGCACCCTCGAGGCAGTTACACAGTGCTTACAACTGTCTCTGGAAGTGAATGCATCAGAAAATAAATTAAGTCATATGTACGCAGCTGTCATCCGTACGCAAGCAAGTAAGCACAAAATGCCGAACACCCTTAGCAGGATGCAGCGCACCCTTCATGCGACTGGCCGAATACTTCACGGCGCTTCGCGCTTGGTGATGTGAGAGCCTGGTCCGGTGAGAACCCGGCGCGCTCCGTCCCGGCTTTGTAGGGATGCGAGGTCAATGGTCTACGACTACGGCATGCACGACTATGAGTACGCCCCGCCCCCCGCCCCCCATCCCCCCACCTCCTCGCTGCGGCGTAACAAACATTCTTGTATGGTGTGCTTCCAGGTTCGATTACAATTGTAGGGGTCTCGAGAGACATTAATCATCGACATGTGGCAAGCGTAGCAAGAGGGACGAACGAACACATGGTATCTTCACTCGCTTGCCACAAATGGAAATATCGAGCTAATTCCTAACTACTCTACTGTAGCTGCTGCTTTCTACGTTTCGCCGCACTTCAACCGTCAAAAATGCTCATAGCGGCTACGAAGGCCTGCAGGGGGGACAGCGGCCAGCAAAAGTCTAGACTAAAGTGGTCTTCGGAGATCTGTACAACAACAACCAGCAGCACCGTCGGAGATGGTAACAACCGAGCGATTGCAGAACAGCGGCAGCACCGGCCGAAAGACCGACGCAAGAGCAAACAATAGAGGAAGGACATGAAGAACAAGCACAACAAGAAGAGACGAACAAGAACAGAGGAACAAGAACAGAAGGAACAAGAACAGAAGGAACAAGAACAGAAGGAACAAGAACAGAAGGAACAAGAACAGAGGAACAAGAAGAGAGGGGATGAACAATCATGCGAGACACAAAACAGCAGGAGACAAAAAAGAGACGCATACGGAAGAACACGGCAACAACAAACAGCAGACAGCAGACAGCAAGGGGCGGAGGCGGGGGGGGAGGCGGGGGCGGGGGCTGCTGAAAAGGGGCGTAAAGGAAGAATGGGAAGGAAGGAGAACGTGAGTAGCCATGACCGCCGACATGGACGAAACATCGAAGGACACTACACGTGGGAGGCGGTTGTCTGTGGTGGTGCTCCTCGTGTCCCGGTTTACCACAATCCCCGGACGGAAGCAAGAATCACCAATCGAAAAATGGGACTAAAAAACGAATCCCACGCTGGGGAGATACCTCAAGAAGAACGAGGGCGGGGGGGGCATCATTTGTCCACCCGAAAGAAGTGCACTCTAAGTTTTTTTTAACACATGGCGACGACGGAAATGCACAACAACAATGCGGCACGGCGAAACACAGAAACGGGCACCGCACGATCAAAAAGCAGCATACCCACAACTCGTGTTCTCCTCCGCCCGCCCCCCTTCGATTCCCTATGTTCACGTCCCTCGACGACGAGCGGAGGCTGTCCGAAACAGGCTGCGGTTTCGAGTAGTCGTCGATGCAACCGACAACAAGCGTACTGGACGCAAAAACACAAACAGCACACACAAAAACACATCCGCAATCCGTTCCAACCACCTCCCCCCCCCACAGAGCTTGTGCCGCCGCACCTTCCCCACTTGCAGGGTCGACTTGGACGCTGCCGTTATCGATGGTCGGTGGTGGTGTCCTTCCGCGTGGTCTTTGTCTCCCCCCCCCGTCTGCTGCGCTTCGCTATTGGTACCGCCCCCCGCCCTGTTGCCTCGTCCTGCTACTGACGCCGCGCTCTTCCCCTGCTTCCCTCCACCGCCCGCGGTGGCGGCGGTGGCGGCAGGACTTGCGTCCGCGGCAACCATGCTCACGTTCTTGCGAGAAGGTTCTCGAACCCTATGGGTTGCGTTATCCGTGCGGCATATTCGCGGGGGGGTTCATGTATTGTCCTTAAGGGCAAGAAGAGAAACGAACGCTTTCGCTACGTGCATTCATGAGCTCGAAGCGGGGGTGGGTAAAGTGTGTGCGTGTGCGTGTTTGTTCATATTTCTCTCCCTCAGGACACACGCTTGACAGCTTCGAGACGGCCTTGACAGTTTGGGACAACCCCCGTGACACTCTTGACACTCGATAGTCCCGACACAGCCTCAACAACTTTTGGCATGAACTCGTGAAAGGTTTGGAGCACTCATGACGGGTCTTTGATACAGACTTGACAGCTTTGTTCCACAGAAGTGATGGTCTTGACAACTTCCCCCGGAGAGATTAAAAAAAAAAAATCCAGATCAGACGGACACACCATTCCTGCCTTGTCCCAAATCTTTCGTAAAAAAACTGAGTCCTCTGCGAGATCATTCTACGTAGCGCAATTTTCTTAATTCTTCGAGAGGATGACTAAACCAAGATCACAGGCTGACAAAAACAACGACAACGTCAATACCCGGTACACCAGAGCACGAGAGCTAGTCTCGCTAAACCGGATGAGAGATACGGCTGGTTATCCACCCCGGAGGACTGCCAAGCTGCCAGTAGTCAGTAAGGTTTAGGTCCAACTTGAGGTGGCTCACCCTTATCTTTCCTCTCCCCGCCTCTGCCTTACCCCTCCCCAGCCACTGTCTTACGTCTCCCCGGCCTCCGTCTCAGCTCTCCCCCCCGCTGTCTTACCTCTCCCCTCCTCTGTCGAAGTCGAGGGTGTGGCAGCCCTGCCACGCAGACCACTTGGGCTGCTTGGACCTTAGGACGATCATCCCCGGCGGGACGACCCCGGCTTTCTCCCATTTCCTGGGAACACCAAGTTAGAAAAGAAGTCGGTTTGGGTGTGACAAATGTCGGCTCGGCCAAACCCTGCGAAACAGTTCATTCGACACCACGCCCGGGGACACGCACGCAAACCAACATGACGCCTGCTACGGAATGAAGAGCCCACCGCATCGCATCATGATTGCCGGGAATACGGTCCGTCCGCGACACGTTTGTCAAAAGCAAACCAAACACAAACACCCGCCGCCGCAAGCATGTACGTCGGACCGACGACCCCCATGTGCGGCAGTGCCTCTCCATCTACAGTAGCTCCCATACCTCAACCCCTCCGCCAACAATCCCGAGTCAACCATTTGTTCGCCGCCGCCGCCGCCGCCGCCGCCGCCGCCGCCGCCGCCGCTCGCACTTCCCGGTGCCGATAGCGACGCGCTTGGGTCCGGTACGATAGCCGCGACGGACAAAAGCTTTCCCTCTCCCTCAGCCTGTACATTCACCACCACTGCCCAGCTGAGCCAACCCAGCCACCAATGAACGCCACGTTCGCCCAGTCGCCCAGGCGGGGGGTGGTGTTAGGGGCAGGGGACGAATGCCGTGACATCTAGGAGAGAGGGAGAGGGGTCTAGGCTGACGGTGAAGGGAAAGAGAGGGGGAGGGTCGCTGTAAACTGCTGCCTGCGATTGTTCAGTGGCAGCTGCGTTCAAAGCTCTACTACAACTGCAGCTGACAAATTAGAAAATGAACAATAGCGTGCTTTGCAGGTGCACGCACGGGAGGGAGAAAAGGGGCTCCCGTATGACACAGAAATCATTCGCTGAATGTGAATGTAAACATCGCACACCCTCGGGAAGAGGAACACCAAGAGACCATCTTCCCGTTCCCACCATCAAAAACCCTTTCTTGCATCATCTCTTACACCAACCACCCTACCTACCCCCCCCGAAACACACCACACAACGCCCGACATCACCTTGGTCGTGACATGTGGCACCAATAATTTGAACGAGTGCAGAACATATTTAGCACTCGACACAACGAACATTACAATACTGCTGTACTAGCACATCGCACCAATAGTGTAGACACTCCACTCACCACACCGGGCTGCCGCCGAACCCGTCAGGCCTCCGACACCCGCTCCCCTCGCTACTTACGCCCCCCCTGCTCCCCCCCNCCCCCCCCCCCCGCCGCTCCCCCACCGCCGCCGCCGCTCGAACCAGACAACGCCGGGCTTTGAGCCTTGCTGCCGTCCGACCCCACGTCCCCCGGGGACCCTGAGATACCGGTACCACCGCCGCCGCCGCCGCCGCCGCCGCCATCAGCGGACGCAGGGAACGCGGTTGCGGGAGCGGGGACGGATGAAAAGGGGACAGGGCTCACGGGCGAAGCGGCGGCGGCGGCCGCGGCGGCGGTAGCAGCTCGCAGGTGGTCGCCGACGAGGGACGGGGAGGTCATTGTACCCTCGCCCTTGCCCTTGCCGCCCCACGGCTGAGTTGCCACCTTGGCCAAGGCGTGCTTATCCTGGAGGCAAGGGAGTGGTGGGTGGGGGGGGGTCGAAAGTTGAGGCAAATGTTGCTCAAACACCCAAGCGGTCATCAGTCGCGCTGTGCTGCAATGGAAGGAGCGGGGGCGGGGGGGGGGGCACGGGGCCTTTGCGTTACGGGAGACAATTAGCACGACAGGCAGTACATGGGTGGTTTACAGGTGAAGCGAGAGCAGACAACAGGCCGCCGCGCCGGCACCCACATCCCGGCACTCTCATCTCCCCAGCTGCTCGACAAACAGCCCACCGAACAAACACACAGACAACGTCCATCCATGGACACAACGGAGGCCCGTCGAGAGAGAGCGGTGGATGCACGGAATGATTGCTGGACTTCTGTCCGACGCGGCCAAGAGAGCAGAGCACAAGCACATAAAACACATCATTTTCAAGAATTTCTCCGCAGAACGACTGGCGCCTTTTCATTTGGTCAGCCGGTTAGCGCGGCCAATTCCAAGAAGCGCAAAAACACATTCACCTTCCACACTCCGTTCCTACTCCACACGTAGCTCGCCGACCGGGGCCTGGTTGACCTGTACCGCTTGCTCGAGAGAAGAAATTGCGCCCCTCCCACGGCCCCGTCCCCCCCCGCCCCGCCTCCGCCTCCGCTGCCGCCTCCGCCGCCGACTGCAAGGAACGCCCTAAGGGTTTCCATTCCTCCGCCGCTGTGCGTAACTCCCCCGCTTGCGCTACCGCCTGTAGCACTAAACGCACCGCCTCCGCTTCCGCCGTCAGGCCCGGTAGAGCTACTGGTGGTGGGGGGGGTACCCCCATGCCCGCCGGGAACGCCAGTCGCGGGGCCGCTCGTCGTTGTCGTCGTCGGGGAGGCATTGCCATCGCCGCCGTCACCGCCACTGCCGTCCTCCGCCAGAGGTCGCTGCTCCTGGAGAAATAGCCTGAAGTACGTCCGAATCGTAGACCTGTCCTCCGATGACAGGTCGCGATTGCAAAGCACGGCGGTGAAAGCCGGGGGCGCAGAACCGTAAGAAAATCGCCAGGCGCATTCAAATATAGCGAAACCATGAGTCTTGAACACAGCACCAGCTCTACGATGCAGCAAAAGTGGCGCATCGGGGCGGGGGGAGGGGTCGCCTCCGTACCAGAGAATAAACGAAACTTACAAAGCTTCTGTTTCACGGGATCGGCTGTAAATGACTCGACGACGAATTGCATGTGGGCGGGGATTGCACGTGGCTGAATTGCAAACAGGGGGGGGTTCCGGTCGCTTCCGTTCGAGATGGAAACCCGAAGCAGGCGGTGGCTATTTTCGCGGGGTCTTGAAACCACACCCCATCTAGGCGGAGTTCGGAGATGGGTGCCCCGAGGCCAGCAATAGGGAGTGGGGGTGGAAAGGCAAGGGGATGTCAGCGTCGGTGCGGTCTTGAATACAAGCCGCTCGAGCCAGCACTGTCCGGTACATGCGCTGTACCAGCGGTCTTTCTAGCGGTGTACGAATAGTGTACGGAAGGCAAAACAAAACCACCGACCTTGTCCTCTGGATGATGCAGTAGCTTTTCAAGCCCTGCGGGGTGGGCTGAAGCAGGAAGTTGTCATCGGCCTCTTGGAGGGAGCTCACGTCCACCGTGGCCTGCTCCAGCACCGAAGGAAGGACTTCCGGAGATCCGAGACCAGAGCTCACCAGGTCTTGACCACGCCCGGAGAAGACACGACAAGAAAATAGAAGCACGTCGCAGTAGATAGCAAGCACTTGGTCACGTCAAGACATACGGCAGAAATAACTAGAGCGCTGAAAGGTTGGGGTGGGACTAGGAACGGTGTCCTGTCGCAAAAAGGATTTACTAGGTGATCAAAACGGTTACCCCCCCCCCTCATTCTCCTTTGGTGGTCAATGGTCAAATGACTACGGCAAGCAACAAATGAGTACGCCCCCCCCCTCATTCTCCTTTCCTAGCCATGCCGTGTCCCACCCAGCCCTGCCGCGTACAGGACTGAGCAAGCGAAGAAAAGACGACCGCCCGTACCCCCCCCCACCCCCACCCCCCCCCGCTTTTTCGTTTCCTCTCACCGCGCGGCGCCCCGCCCAGGCCGATCACACCCGCCGCCCCGGCTTCATCGTCCGTGGACGAGTAATTCCCGTCCTCTTGCCCCGCCCCCTTGCCCCTCTTCGAGTCCGGGGACACGTAGGAAGGGGACGCCGCGCTCGAGGACCCCACTGCCGCCACCGCCGCGTCCGCCTCCGCCGCCTCCGAGGCGTTCTTCCCCACGGGCGGGGGCAGGCCCGCGAGGTTGCGCCGCCGGACGACAACCGTCTCGGCGCTGCCGTGCCCTGCGGCCCCTGCCGCCGCCGCCGCCGCGGCTGCAGAAGCGGCGGTCGACGGCAACGCTTCTTGTCGGTGTCCTGGCCAGGATAAGCCCGGGAGGAAGGAAAAGCTGAGCCGGTTTTCCAACCGCCTGCGGGGTTACACCGGGGTTGGTTGTTTGGGGG